GCCCGCCCTCGTATCTTAAGGCTGCACCGCCGCTAATAGTGCCTGCGAGTTGTCGCACCGCAGTGCGCCTCGCGGACGGACCCTGGTCCGCCTACTTGTCCGATCTCTCTCTCTCTCTCTCTCTTTCTCTTTCTCTCTCTCTCTCTCTCTCTCTCTCTCTCTCTTTTCTCTCTCTCTCTCTCTCTCTCTCTCTCTCTCTCTCTCTCTCTCTCTCTCCTCTCTCTCTTCCCCGCTCACTCTCCTCTCTCTCCTCACTCGTCTTCTCTCTCTCCTCTCTATCTCTGTCTCTCCTCTCCTCCTCTCCTCCTCTCTCGTCTCTCTCTCTCATCTCCTCTCTCTCCTCTCTCTTTCTTTTCTTTCTCTCTCATCTCTCTCGCTCTCTCTCTCTCTCTCTCTCTCATCTCTCTCTCTCCTGCCCTCTTCTCCACTCACTCTCCCCTCCTCTCTCTCATCTCCTCTCTCTCTCTCTCTCTCTTCTACTCTCATCTCTCTTCTCTCTCTCTCTCTCATCTCATCTCTCTCATCTCTCTCTCTCTTCTTCTCCTCTCTCTCCTCTCTCTCTCTTTCTCTCATCTCTCTCTTCTCTCTCTCATCCTTCTCCTCTCTCTCATCTCTCTCTCTCCATCTCGTCTCTCTCCTTCGTCTCTCTCTCTCTCTCTCTCTCTCCTCTCTCTCTCTCCTCTAGCCCTGCCCGCCTGACTCTCTGGAGCGGCGGAGGGGGCCTGCTGGCCTCGCGCGGCGGCCGCGTGCGCCGCCCGAGCCTCGCCCTTGAAGCTCGCCATCGCCTTCGCCATGATGCCCATGACGGGCTCGACGGCGCCCCGCGCGCGCTGGCCCTCGGGGGGGGGGGCCGAGGGGAGACGGGAAGTGGGAACGGAACGGACCCCCCCCACCCCCAGTGACGCGCCCACGGGGGAACCAGCCGCGGCGATGGCCGCGGAGACCGCGCCGCATTGGCACGACAGAGGTAGCGCGTGCGAACATGTGAAGCGCCGCCTGGCGCACGTGACACCTGAGAGGGCCTGCGCGATAGCATTCCAAATATGCTTGCGCCGAGGCTCGACGCATATCGCCATTGGTGGCGCTTCGCGCGCCCCTACCAACCCGTCCAGGAACGACGCCCAGGCGAGCTGAGGTGACCAGACAAACGCGGGGGCAAAGAATTTAGACCGCCGAGCCGCGCGAACTAGGGAGACGAAGGAGACTGGATGGATGGATAAGAGAGCGGGGGGAAGGACGCTGCATTGGACGAGGAAGAGGAGTAAGATAAACATGAGTAGGAGGAGAACAAATGGACCAGGAAGAGAAAGGAAAGAGGAATGACAGGGATAACAAGGCAGGAAGAAAAATGACAAGCAGAAAGGCCAGAAACTTCTTGAATGATACGGGGCCCCCTCGGGCATCCCTTGGAAACTTTTTGGAGGGGGCTTCCAGAAGGCGCCGAGAGGGTCGCGAGAGGATCCCAAGAATGCTCCAAGAAGGCCCCGAGCAAGGCCCGAAAACAACTCCACACCGCATATACGTGATATGATACGCGCGCCAGAGGGACACCCACACACATGCGTGATAGGGCATCGCCATGGCTTTCTTGGGGTCATCCTGGCACTCTCTTGGGGCCCCATCGGTTAACCCCCGCGCCGCCTAGTCCTGTCCCCCCCCGCCGCGGATTCCCGCGAGGGTCCTGAGAGGGCTGCGAAAGGCCCGATAGTGATCCAAGAAGGCCCCGCGAAGGGGGCGCGAAAGGACCAACTGGCGCCCAGAGCCGTCTATAACCCGAGGCCCCAGTTATGTCCGCGTCTGTCTTCTTGGAGCTCCGTCAGACTGCGTGAAGGCCCTAGACCAAGAGCCCCATCAAGGCACCATAGCGGCCCCAAGAAGGCACCAATACGGCCCCACGATGGCCAAACATGGACCCCAAACATGTAGATCATTCGGGGCCTCGGGCTACCGCGATTCAGGTGCCCAGTTGGGGGTCACATCGAAGCCCCTTGGTGCCCGATTGAAGCCCTCCTGGGGCTCCGAGAAAGCACCCAGAAGGCCCCGAGAGGGCCCCTAGAGGGCCCGAGAAGAGCTCAAAGGGCGGGGGGGCAAACGAGCCCAAGGGTGGCCCAAAACTAACGCCGCGCATGGAGTTGGGTTGGAGCCACATTGGCGCCTTTCGGGGTCCTCTTGGAGCTCCTGGAACCCTCTCGGGCCCCCAGCGCCCCCCCCCCCCCCCCTGCGGGGCTCCCCAGAGACCCCCAATGGACATCCGAAGGAATGGATGGGGGAGGTTGGCGGATCGTGGATGGGGGGATGGCGGCGCTGGCGGAGGGACGGTGGGAGAGGGCGCGGCTGGGGGGCGGTGGCGGTGCAGGGTGGAGAGTCTGACAGTGGAGAAACAAGACCTTGGGGAGTGGCAAGGGGAGGGTGCGATTGCGTCGGGAACTTGCAGACGAACCGCCCTATAGACCACCTTTGCCAAGAGGGCTTGTGGGGGGGGGGGGGAGTTGGCGGCAAAAGCGAAACAACGCAAAACGCATGCGTCGGCATGCGCCGATCATCCCGACTGCGGGGTCGGGCGGGCGGCCACGGCGCGGCAGCGCAGCATATACGCACAGAAGGGAGCAACGACGACGGTAATGATGCGATTTCGACTCCTCGAGGCGCTCGGTCGAGCACTGCGCCGAAGTCTGCGACACTGGCGCCCCGCGGGACCACCGTCAAAGAGCGCGGGTGCGCCAGGCTTGGCACGGAGGAGGCGGAAACAGATCGAACTGAGAAACGCCCATGCACGCCGCCGAAATCATTGGCACGCCCCCCTGCAACATACCAATACAGATCAGACCCAAGCCCGAAACAGGCCACTCAATCTATAGAGGGGGGGGGGGGGGGGGGGGGGGGGGGGGGGGCTCGCGCAGAGCCCCCGCCAACGAGATTTGAACATCGGGGATCCGAGCTGCAGCGAGGCATACCCCTCTGCAGTTGGTGGGGGATGGGGCCCGAAAACTCGGCGCGCGCCAAGGTCGCCTCAAAGCCCGAGGCCACCGAAGAGAAGGGCGCCTGAACACAGAGCGACAGCAGCATCGCTCCCCGCGGGCTCGCGCCTAGGGCTTGCGCCCGTTGCCGAGCCCGCCCTTGGCCAGCGTCTTGAAGCCCTTCGCGGGGTCGTCCTGCAAGGGCAGTCGCCCCCTCCTTTCCTCACCCCCCCCCCCCCCCCCCGCAAGCAAACCTCGGCAAATCACACGGGCGGGCCCAGTCCCAGGATGAGGGCACAGCGGTGTTCGGCGAAAGTGAAGCTGGGATCTGCATGGGCGCACCAGTAAACCTCATGATCCTCTCCTGCTGCAGATCCCCACCCCAGGCTGCCTCCACGCCACACACCCCCGCTCCTCCTCCTCCTCATCCTCCTCCCCCCCTCATCCAAACATCGTCGTCCCCATCCTGCTTGCAATTCCATCCCGCCGACCCCTGCCACCGCGTCGGTCCTTGGGCGCGCTCTTCTGTCTCTTCAGCGGGCCGCTGGAGTAGGCCACGATGGCGTCCTGGACCTCGGCATCCATCACCGCCTGCACCTGGTCCTTAATCCACTTCTGCGTCATGAACCTCAAGTTCCTGATCGAACTGATCTCGACGACCACGTTCTTGCTGGAGATCTCCGTTTGGACCCAGTTGTCCAAGATATCAGTGACGTCGTGGAGGACCCTGGTCAGCTCCAGGATGCGGTCGACGTTGCTCATGTGACTCATTTTTGGGATCACCGTCAAGTCGTAGTCGTCGTCGTCGTTCGACTTGAAAAAATGACCCCCTGGTTCTGATGAGGACGGGAAGTTCGCAACGACCGAGCGGTTCACCCACCAGCCTCCCATAAACCACCCAGTATCAGGCGACCTAGTGGTGCTATACTTGTCGGCGCCCCAGAGCATAATTGCCGCCCACCGTTTCAGCATCTCCTTCGTGGGGGCAATCGTGTAGCCGATCGCGCCGTCGCCGCCGTCCAAGTCGCCGTACCCAGAGCTCGCCTACGCGGGCCCCCTGGTGACCGACTGGCCGATGTCGTGGGGCATGCACAGGCGGTAGCCAGGCTTCACCACCTCCTCGGGAGATGAAGCGCGAAAACCTGAAACGCCCGCCCCTGCCCAGAGTTACTTGGCACCTGCCGTGCTCGTTGGGGGGCCTCCGTCAACCCCGCCAAGGCTGGCAGCGCCCCCCCCCCCCAAAAAAAAAGTCAGCGCGGCACCCCCCGCAGGCCAGCAGGAAACCATCGCCAGGGACGAACACCGCATCCAAACGAAATGTTCAGGGCGCCCAGGATGAGCATCAATGCGGCGAGCGGCAACGCTGCGCCAAAATATTAAACTGAGCTCGGGGGGATGGAGGGCGGCGCCCAAGAACCCCCCGAGCAAAACTACGAGCACGGCAGGGGGTAACCTGGAACAACTGTTTCATCGGGCGGGGCGTTGAGGGATCGGGGCTATCCGTCTGGTTGGCATCTGAGCTACCCGCTGCCATGGCAAGGCCCAGGACTGGCGCTCCGACGGTGGGGCGAGGGATCCACGAACCTATTGGGAAAACCAGGGGGCCAACAACAAACTTCGCACCCCCTGAGCCGAAGGCGGGCAACCGACAAACAAGGGTAAACGACCCGTTGGTTTACGACAGTGCGACACTGTAAAATCTAAACACCATTGGCGGACTCTGCCACAACATCTCGCGTCAAGAAATTTCGGACGTGGACCTGACGACGAACAAACGCAATCGCTTTCAAACGGGTGTTGTTTTACAAGAGCCGCGGACCCCAGCAACTCCGATCTTACTCGAGCGTCAAAAGGCGCGCCGTACCCCCCATCATGGTCCGCGTGACCAGCGGGAGGGCAGGCTTGGCAGGCACGGGGAACAGGCAGGCGGGAGGTCGAGCTGTTATGAGGTGGGCTTTCTTTCATGGAGGTCTTGGGTGGAGGCCTACTTCATGTTCCCTGCGGCCCCGACGTCTAAAAGAGGCCAGCAATCGGGCACTGATCCTTCGGGAGCTTGTGCTTCTCAAGGAAACGCTCCCAAGTCCGCTTGAGGCAGTCCCGCATCGCTTCGAATGAGGAGCCCCCGAACGCGGACCAGCTAGCCTGTCCACGAAACTCGTACTTCGGCATGTGGAATCGCCACTGGCCGTGCGTGTTCGCACGCCAGAGGTAGGCCCCTGGCGGGAGGTAGAGCTTTGCCTGCGCCTGATCTAAATCATCTTCTGGAGATGGGGGGTTCGGCGGAAAGCGGTGCCCATATAATGGATGCCTGTTGTGCTTCACGTTCGTCACTGGCTTGCCGCCGACCTTGACCTGCAGGTGAGCATTGACAAGAAGGAGGGCGAGGAGCGGGAGAGGGGGAGGGGGGGGGTGAGGAGGGCGAGGAGGGGGGTGAGGATGGGGCGGAGGAGGGCGAGAAGGAGGAGAAGGAGGAGGAGGGAAGGGAAGGGAGGGAGGGGGGATGAGGAGGGCGAGGAGCGGGGACATACATGAGAAGGGGGAGGCGGAGGGGGATACTGATAAGGAGGAGGAGGAGGAGGAGGAGGGTGAGAAGGAGGAGGAGGACGTGGGAAGGGGGAGGAGGAGGAGCAGCAGGAGGAGGATGAGGGTGAGGAGGAGGAGGAGGAGGGGGAACGCAAAGAAAAAGTACCAACGGACCTTGAGCTCGTGGTAGTCGCTCAAGACCTCACTGCGCAGGGACTTGTGCGCGCGGGCAGCAGCAGCCTGTTGATGCAGTTCGTCTGCAACACCTTTGTCGCAGATGTCTGCGACCCACTCCAGCTCCAGCATGTCCTCGATGTGCTCCACCGCGTCCATCGTCTTGATGCGGCGCATCAGGATGGAGAGCAGCACGGACTCGGAGAAGACGGGCAAGATGTGCTTCGCCAGCGCCGTCAGCACCCCCGTGATTGAGCAGCAGCCGACGTCCCAGCCCTTGTAGTCGCACAAGCGCTTCAAGTACGAGACTGGAAGGTCCCAGAAGCCATTCAGCAAGCCGATGTACAACAAGGACCTCACCCCGCCCGAGCCCTCGATCATGATGCAGTGCTTCCCGTACTTCGCCGACTCCTGGAAGAAGTAGGAGGGGGAGGGGGGGAAGGGGGAACAAGAGGGAGGTGGGGGGGGAACACGGTAGGAGGAGGGTAGGAGGAAGTAGGACGTATGAGCGGTAAGAGGACGAGAGATGAGCAGGGGAGGCGCGTCAAGAAGAAGGGAGGCTGGGGTGCGGAGTGCCACGGTAGGGAGGATGTGGACACGGTGGGAAGGGAGGCGCGGTAGAGGAGACACGGTAGAAGGTAGGGGACACACGGTAGGAGGAAGGGGGACACGGTAGGATGAGGTGGGAGAGACACGGGAGGAGGAGGAGTAAAATGAGGCAGGAGAGAAGCATGGGGGGCACGGTAAGAGGACGAGTAGGATGAGGCATGAGGAAGCAGTAGGGGGTAGGACGTAGGGAAGTTGGGGCGGAACATGGCGTTGGGGCCCACGGCGTTGCCTTGACGGCAACGGACGTGCTGTTGTAGGTGCCTGGGCCCGCGGCTTCCATCTCTTTGTTGATGGCTTGGCGGAGGGGCGACGTGAAAGTCACGGTCATCGCTTCCCACTCGCGCTCGTCCAGAATAGCAAGCAACACCCTGTGGCTGCCTGCTTTCACTCGGAACACCTTTTCTGAGACGACGTCCACGGGCCACACCACCGCCAAGTTCGAGTCGATCGACCCGATCGCGCAGTACCAACGACCAGTCGGCCCCTTGCGAATCACCATACCTTTGTGGACCAGCTGGCAAAGGAAAGCGGCGTCCATGCTACCTAGCTCACCGACCGTGGCCGCCTGGCGACAGAGCTCAATGTCGCTCAGCGGGACGCTGTAGCCAGATGCTCCAGGCGAGAACCACTTCGCATCTCAGTAACCGACAACGCGGTAAAGTTCAAGTGCTGCCGTCTCAGGCGCGAGGCTCCTCCGTTGGAGGCGTGGCCGAAACGCATGGGGTTCCAGCGCGGCGTCCCTGGGCACCACGGCGCCCGAACCATCGAGCTCGTCAAACCGATGGGTCGCCGACAAGACGCCGCTGTCAATGCTGGCTGCCATCATCGACATCGGCCCTGTGAGCGTGTTGCTCTGGCCGTCGACGTGGCGCTTGCACTTCCCGAACGTGTCCTCCACGATCTGGCTGCCGATGATCCGCTGGCACTTCTCGGCCATGTGGGCCTTCAGCCTGCACGAGGGCGGGGAGTTGGGCTAAGACGGATGGCGAGGCACAAGGAGACAAAGGTGACAAAAAGAGGAGGGGGAGAGGGATGGCAAGGAAAGGGGGAAGAGGCAACAAGCACCTGAAAAGGAGGGAATACGTCGGGGGAGGGCGGTGAGGATGAGAAAGAGGACGAAGCAAACACGCAACAATGCATCTTTCAACTTAACAAAGCGGCCTGTCCGTCACCTGCCAACCCTCCTTCTGAACGCAAGCGACCAAGTGGCGAACGGAGGCCTTCCTGAAGACGCTCCTGTTGCGCATGGCCTCGGAGCCGTCGAATGTCAAACCCTGGAGCTTCTCGTGCAGCTGGAGGTCGGTCTCAAGCTGCTTGAGAAAATCAACAGACGCGTCGCCCTCGGCTAGAATGAGACATTGCCTGCGTGGAAGGCCATGTGAAAACACGAGGTTCCGTTTCGCGTGCTGGAGAACCGTCTGGAAAACCAAATCTATGAGAAGAGAAACCTGGTCGTCGTTCTGGGTGACACGAGGGTGGTCCGCGAAAAGCCTGCCCTCGCGCCAGTTCGTCTCGATTCCCATGTCGTTGAAAAACTTTGGAGCCAGCAGTGCCATCATGGACAAACGCTCGACGTGATAGAACTCTCCGAGGCACTGCTTGATCTCCCAGGGGATAGTGGCAGACTTCTCTCGCAACACCTGGTTCTGCCTTGGCTGGTGGACAACGTGAGACGTGGGACCGATGGGGTCATAAAGCACTAGTGCCCCACCCTGAGACGAAGGGGGAAAGCCTGGTGGGGGGCTGGAGCATGAAGACCTGATATGATGAGAAACTGAGCGGAGGAGGGCGAGGGCAAGCGCCGTCAGACCTCCCCGCGAGAGCCCCCTCTGGTTCGGCAACACATCCGAACTCCATCCGCCTTGCTCCTTGTTTTCTCCCTCCATTTGCCTCCTGCCTCCCTCCCTGTCTTACCTCCCTCAACCGACTCGCCCCCCCATCGTCCTCTCCCTCCGCTCCTCTCCGATAGGAATTAAGGCGTGGTTCGTATCGTCCCGAATCAGCCTCGAATGGTACTCCTGGGTCGGCGTGAGCACGTTAAGAATGAGACGTTGCTTGTCCAGGTTTGACAGATCCCCATATATGAACGCTGCTCGATCGAGCTGATTTGCGCAGTTCTCACCTAGACTTTGATGGGCATGTTGCTTCAGGCTGGCCTTGTCTGGAACGCCCCCAGGTGACTCAACAACGACCGCGGGATCCTTAGCTTTGGGCGCCTTTCTCCGATCGGCTCCAGGAAATCCCAAGGAAAGTGCTGCCACGTTGAAGATGTACCCCCGCATGCCGAAGTCATTGATTGTTTTGTTCCCAACCGTCAACGGGTGCTGGAACTTGCCTAAGTTTACCTTTTCCGACTTCGTCCACAATAACCTGTGGTTCGGAATCGCGTCGTAGAAAGCCTGGACAGCCTCGGTGGTCGAGAAATCAACCTGCCAGGCGTAGACCGAAGGGGCGTGCAAATGCCAAGAACGGGAACGAGGAAGCGTATTATAATAATTTGAGTGGGAGGGGGCTGCATTTCTAAACTTAAGCCCAAAAACACCTCGGCGCACTGGCGCCTGATCGTCGGCAAGAAGAGCTGGAATAAGGGGTCCGAATTGGGGCTCTTGCAGGACTTCACGCGGTTGCAGACCGACTCTCGAATTTGAATCAAGCGAGGGGGCGATAACGTCGAGCCGTAGGTGCAGTTGGCCCCCGCGACAAGCATCACTTGGAAACGCCACAGCCCCGACAACCTCCGAGAGAAACCAATTTGGGAAGCCAGCAATCCTACCTCCCCCCACGGAGCCATCCTTTGTCGCAGCGTGCCGCGGATTTCGAACACCGAGATTTCAGGACCCCTCTTCAAACACAACAAAAGAATCGGGGGTGATGGAAGGGGGAAGGGCGATGCAATTTCCCACCCCCACCGCCTCAATGCGCCTTTAGACGCGTTCGAAAGAGCATGTGACAAGTCGTAGTCGAATTGTACCAGCAGGTTCCGATCGCAAGATAAGAAGTGGTCTACTGCGACCATGTCTGGCCCAGAATCTGGGCAGACCGACAACAGGCGATAGCTGAAGGGGTCCCCAACCAACTCTTTTGTCTCGGGGCTGGTGGGCAACACAAAATCAGCAAGAGACATCCCGCACGAAGTCCTCAATTGATTATCTATAATCATCGCCATTTGGAATGCTTTCAAGCGGCGGCGCTTGCGAGGACGAGGGCCATCGTCGCTCGCGGAAATCAGTGTCTGGGCAAGCTTCCTCTTCACGACGGTTCTGGGGGGTGGCAAATCCAAGGCGAGGACGTGGTCTCCCCCCCGTCCCCCTCCCTCGCCTTCGCCGTCTGCCCTGCCCCCCCTCCCCCCCCCCCCCCCCCCCCTCCACCCCAATCCGCACCCCCCGACCTCTCCCCCGCCCCCCCCGCTTCTGGTTTGCGAAGGGGGCGGTTGACAGGACGAGGGAAGTGCTGGAGAGGAGGCGGGAGGAGGGCGGTAGATAAGGGGGGTCGGACGAGGCGCGCGGGGGGAGGGATCGGGGAGGAGGAGGGGGGCGGTGAGGAGGGAGGGTGGAGGGGGGGAGAGAGGGAGAAGGAGAGATGCGAAGTAGGAGAGAGAGAGAGAGAGAGAGAGAGAATGGGGGATGGGGGAGAAGGAAGGCGGGGGGCGGCATCCGAAACTGAACCCTCTAACCCTTGGAATCCTGAAGAAATGCCTGTGCTTCTCGGACTCCTGGGCAACGGCCTGCTCGTCCTCGAAGCACGACGCGCGGAAGTGCTGCGAGGGCACCTGGGCGCGAGGGCGGGGGGAGGGGGCTACGTGAGGGCGGATGAGGGGCGAAAGTCGCTAACACCAAAGCCAAACGGCGCTCGCGCGACTGGGGGTGGGATGTCGGAGGGCTCAAAGCCTCGAGCGCCGCGGCCCCGAGGCCGGGAAAACCCACCCCCACCCCCAGTCCCGGGAGCTGGTCAGCTTGGGCCCCCGCGGCCTAACCCACGCAGCAATCAGGGGGATGGGAAAGGCGGCGGAAAAAACAGGCGGGGGAGAGAGGCAGATGAGAAAGGGAAGGAAGAGGAGCGGGAGGAGGAGGGGGGCGGATGCGGAGAAGGAAGATGAGCAGGAGGAGGAGCGGAAGGAAGAGAAGGATAACGAGGAGGAGGATAACGAAGTTGATGAAAAGGAAGATGGGGGAGAGGAACAAAGTAGGAGCAGGAAAAGGAAACGCAATAAGAGAAGGAAGGACATGAGGAGGATGAGGACGAGGAGAATGGAGAGGAGTGCGAGGAGGAGAATAAAGAGGAGTACGAGGAGGAGGAGACGGAAGAGAAGTAGGAAGAGGAGAGGAGGAGCACGCGTAGAACGGACAATGCGAAAAGAAGGAGGATGGATGGGGACGAGGAGGGGATGGGAGGAGGAACCGCAGGGGCCCGCACGAGGACGAGAAGAAGATGAGTTGGAGAAGGAAGAGGAGGAGGAAGGGAAGCAACACGTCGTCACCGCTATCGCCCCCGCTATCGTCGCAATCGTCGTCAGTCCCGCTCAAGCCAACCTGCGGAGCAAGCATGGCAACGGCGCCGCTCTTCTGCTCCATCACCACGCCCATCACGCACTGGAAGTCCGTCCCGATCTTCGTGGCGTCGGGGCCCGCCACGCTCACGAATCTGGCCCCCTGGCAGGCGCTGGCGCGTGGGAGGGGAAGAAGGGGGGAATGGCGACGCAAAGCGGACGGCGCTGAGGAGCGCGAACATTCGACATCCACGTGCGGACCCAAGGAACGGACGTCAAGCACGAGCAACGCAAGCACGCGGAACGAAGCCCGCTTACTTCCCACCTCCCCCACCTACCTATCCCTCATCATCAGCCTCGGAGTGCTCAATATCATCATCTCCCTCCTGCCCCCACTCCACCCCAATCCTTTACTCCTCGCCCATTGTCTTCTTTCCCCCCCCCCCCCCCCCCCCTCCCCAAGGCTCACACAACTCATCTACTCTGTCCCCCTCTAGCCCACGCCCCCCGTCACAAGTGCGCGAAACAAGTTCAGAAAGAGAAATCACAATGCGGACGATGACGTAAACGCGCGCAAACAAAGGGCCTGGAATAAAGTCTGCGACGCTTGGATGTACTTGCACAAGTTGCGCTCCATGAGCCTGTAGTTCGAGGCGTGGAAGTACTGCATGGCGCGCTTCTCGCACGCGCCGTCGCCGCCCACTGCGTCGAGGACGTCCCCGTTGACGCCCCTCACGGTGAAGCCCTGCACCAGCTTGTCGTGGATCATGTTCCCGATGTACGAGTGCACCTATGAGCGAGGCGCCGCCGACCATCGAATGCCCCCTTCCCAGCTCCCATCCCAAACTCGCCCAACCCAAAGGCACGCGCTAGCGACGCACCACAAGGGCCACGACCCCGAACCTAAACTCCCCGAGACTCCCAGGCGCCGTTTGCGCGAAGCAGGTGCGCCGCGCAAACGTAACGCATTGCTATGTTTACCTCTTGGTTTGAGACCCACCCTTTTAACGCAGCGCGCCTGCTTGAACACAGATTTCACCAAACACGATTTCTCCTGCACTGCTGCATTGTGCAAGTGTACGTAAAACAGCTCAAGGCTCATGCCGTGCAGGTCCAGCATCCGAGATTTCTGAAGATCGAAATTGACTTGCATCTCCACTCTTCCATCTGCGTAGGCCTGCTGCATGTCATGGAGTATGACGACGCCTCCCAGGACCTGCACCTTCACGGGGCACTTGCCGACCCAGAACTGGTCGGCAGCCTCCGCTGAAAAAACATTCTGGCGCATGACCACCCCCCGACTCCCGTCGCTCCCAAAACAACGGAGTCGGATCGGGCTGAGCCCAGACCCCACCGAACATCGACACCGTCGAAGCACCACCACCCACATCAAAATAAATGAAAGTATGCGCAGCTGCTTCGCTGCGAATGCCGACGGCGGTGACATGCATGCGATCTTGGGTCCCATTGTCTTCTGTCATCCACCGACCTAAGACGCAAGCGGTCCAAATAACGCGCAACCCCTGATCGAACGCATGCCGTCACCGTCGGCATCCGCAACTAGTGAAACCATATCCGCCATTGCGCGGTGGCCGAGGCACGATGCAGCAGCGCATGGCTTCTGACGTCGACACGCGGCAACGAACACGACAAGCATATACGCGCGCTGAGAAAAAAAAACACGCATCTGAACCGTGCGTTTGAAATCCCCTGGTTCAGCCTTCTCAGCAAACCTGTCCATTCGAATGTTCATCACGAAGCCGTCAGGTAAAAGGCCGATCAAAGATAGAAACACCCTGTCGAATGCGGCCCTGCTTCCTGCACTCTCCTTCAACAAGCCGTGTCTCGCACTCGCGGCACGCGCGCTGCGCATCGACAGCAGGAGGAGGAAGTGAATGCTGACGGAGGGGAAGAGCAAGACACGATGAGGCTCTTGGCGCATGTCTGCGACCGCATATGGCTGGGACGGCCTGATGTGCCTGTGCGAAAGTCCAAACTGACCTGCTAGCGCAACCCACCTCCCACGCCGCCTGTGGAACCACTGAGACCCGTCAATCTGAGATCCTTCAAGAGACAATTGCCGTGCCAAGTCGATCACATCAACGAATAAATCCCCCCCCTCGCAACGGTGCTCGAAGACCGCGCACTGCACCGTGACGCCTGGGAAACCTACGGAAATTGGGATGATGGGGATCGAAGCGAGTGCGTGCTTCTGCAGGATAGAAGCACCTGGGATCTCATCACCGCTCGCAGTTATCAATGTCTGGTCGTGCAGATCGCTGAATCGAATGCCATACAGCGCAGCTGACATAAAGTTCTGAGCGTACATCCCCTTCTGTTCATCATCAACGTCCTTGGGAACGACTACCGCTAACTTCAGCGCGTCACTGTTCTCCTCGTCCTCCAGCACCCACTCCTTGCACGGAACCCCACCCCAGCGTTCAGAAAGCCTTTCCCTTTGGACCACTGAACCCCACCCCATCACAACAAACCCAGAAGCCCGTCTCTTTGCAATCTGAAGGGGGCCCGAACGACCACCGCGACAAGGACATTGCAACCACCTGGCAGTGACAGGCCTCTGGAAATCCCACCAACACCCTGGGCCCAGGTGGTCTAAAGTTTGTCTCTTCCAACTTCCTAGCCAAACACCGATCCCGACCCCCTCCCCAGATGCTCCCGCCCCCATCCACCGTCCACGCCACCACTCCCCCTATCCACAACCCCTCCGCCTCCTCCCCCGCCGCCCTCCACCCCCTCTCCACCTTCGCCTCCTACCCCAAGGGCGCCCCTTGGAAGCTGCTCGGGACCCCCGAGGGGGGATGGGGGGGGTCTGGAAGAGAGCCCCACGATGGGTCCAGGAGTGCCCCATCGGGCAACCCGACAAAGGTTTGAGGTGGACCTGGGCCAACTCCATGCATATATTTGGTCGCGGCCCCTTTGAACCCCGATGTGGGCCCTCTCGGAGCCAACCTGGACCCCCCGCGCACCCTCCTCGAGGCAGGTTGGAGCGGGGAGGGGGGGGGGGGGGGGGGGGGGGGCAGGCTTCGAGTCCCAAGATGGCCCCGCGGAACCTCATGAGAGCCCAGGGGGGACACCAACTGGACCCCATGAGGGAGTCCCCCTACTCCTGCTCCTGCTCCTGCTCCTCCTCCTCCTCGTCCTCCTCCTCCTCCCTCTCCTTTCCCTTCTCGTCATCATCCTGCACCCCCCCCCCCCCCCCCCCCCCCCCCCCTCATCATCTCCCCCTCGCCCTCCTCTGAGGAGGGGGGGGAGGGGGGGGGGGGGGGGGTGAACGCGAGGAGGCGAGGAGGAGGAGGAAAGACGAGGAGGAAAGAATACGAGGAGGGGTGGGGAGAAGGAGGAGGAATAGGAAGAGGAAGTGTTTAAAAATAGGATGGAAGAGGAGGAGGGAAGGAGGGGCAGCAAAACACACGGCAAGGCAGAGGAGGAGCAATTAGGAGGAGAGAGGGGGAGGAGGAGGGGGGGAGGAGGAGGAACTCCCCGCCGCCTGCTTATGCTCCTCCTCCTCTTCCTCCTCCTCCTCTGCCTTCGCTTCCCCCTCCCTGCTTCCCTCCTCTTCCTCCCCCGCTCTTCCTCCTCTGAGGAGGGAGGGGGGAGTGGGGGGGGGGGGGGTGGGGAGGGGGGGGGGAGGAGGAAGAAGCAGAAGAGGAAGGGGAGATGGAGGAGAGAGGGAGGAGGGATATGAAGAGGAGGAGGAGGGGATGAGGAGAAGAAGGAGGAGGGGGAGGGCGGGAGGACGGAGTCCTCCTCCTCTTGCTCCTGATCCCCCTCCTCCTCTTCCCCCTCCTACTCTCCCCTCTCTTCCGCCTCCTGCTTCTCCTCCTCCTCTTCCCCTCTTCCTCATCCTATTCCTCCCTTCTTCTCTCCCAACAGCGTTAGTGGACAAGAACTGGTTTCTGTGCTGTCTGGGGTGTCGGGCGCACTCGGGCACGCACCAGAACTGAACTCGTCTGGGCACCGTTTCTGGATGGCCTGGCGGGGATCTGCGCGAAATGCATGGAATTTCGCGAGGGCGGATGAGTCCTTGGTGGTCGGTAGTTGCACGTGCTCATGAGTAAAGGAGCGCACCAACCACTGCACGAACACACTCGGTGACGGCTCGTCGTCGTGCACGCGAAACTGTAGCTTATCTGCAATGATGTCAATGGACATCGCAGCCCCCCTCCCCCCCCCCCCCCCCCCCCCGCCCCAGCCAGCGGCCGCCTCCCCCAGCAGCACCAGCTGCTGTACTTAAGCTGAAACAGCTGGAAGACGCCACCACCCCCTGGGACTGCGAGCTGCACCCTGTCCACCCCAAAGAAAATCAGACTGCGAGGGCGCGGCGAGAGAACTAAACCTGGAAGGCACTTGATAACGCCGAAACGCCCGATCCAACATCGTGCCACGGGGGCGACATCAATTGAGAGAAAACTCATGCGAAGTCCAAGGCTGTCATCCTGGCGACGATGTGCCCGAAGGGGGGGGGGGGTAGGTGCGATCGCGGGTGCGAGAACAGGAGGCGAATTGGCGGAGTGAGACGGCCGACTACGACGGTTGGCAACTGCGAAGGATGGAGGTCCATGGGACGACGAATCCTACAGAGGCCAGGAGGACAAACTATGACTAGCTGGGGACATGAAGGGGCTTGGCTGAGAGGCACAGGGAAAACGTCGGCAGGGGTTAAGAGAAGGACGATGGGGAGGACAATGTGCCTCTCACGCTAGAAACTGCCAAGATGCACGCCAGCCAGTTCATACCAGCGAATACATTCGCGTCACAGACGCAAGCGAGTAGCGACCTGATCGCCTCCCCGATGCAAACCCCCCACTCTAAGTAAGATGACGTCCTGGAACCCTGGATCTACCGACGGAACCTCGACAGTGCCTGCGCTCCAGGCCCCAAACGTGGACGACGCTGCCCAATCGCACGTGACGGGGCGCGTTTCTTATGTGGCGTTGAGTTCAACAGAAGACTCGGCCATCCACACAAGGCCGAGCGTGATCGGAGGCCGTCGCCAGGCTGGAATTAATGTACCACAGCGAGGCTCGCGCGCCCTGAGACGGGGACAGGCCAAAACGTGCTAGCCGCCCGTTGGTCGCAGCAACTGCGCGCACCGTCGTGCACTCCACCTCCCTCCACTGTGGTCCCCGATCCA